TATATATATATATATATATATATATATATATATATATATATATTATATTATATATATACTGTAGTAAAGAGAGTATTTTTCCCTTCAATCTATATTTATTTAAATATATGCCATAAAAGTCGAAGCTATACTAGTGTAACTATACTAGTATAATACTAGTATAATATTGAGGCAATGGGGACCACGAATTAGAGAAATTAGACGACGAATTAATAATTATTGCCGTCAGTAATCGATCGTGACCGGTCAACAATTTTTTACACGAGCCGTTTATTATTATGTAGCGATTAATCATGAGCCAACTGAATCAGTTAATAGTTAAAATTATAATGATTAAATAATATAATTAATAATATAACTATTTCGCGTTATTATTTATAATAATAATATAATTAATATATAATATAATAAAATTAAAATTATAATCCGAAAAAAAACAGATCTTGTAACACTTTTCTTGACATCGCAACCCTGTCGAACGATTAAGAAGTTCGGGGATCCACGAGGTTCGAAGTTGTGAAAAAAAAGAAGATTTCATCGAATGACCATGTGGATGACTTTCGTCATCGAGTACGATGGGCGAGGCGCGCGCGCGACAGTGCCGCGTCTCGGTATCCGGTATCCGTGGTCGAAACTTCGCTGATCAAGTTTCTAAGCCACGAATCGGGCACGAGGCTGGTTCCCGACAGGCTTGTCTTCGGGCGCCGCGATTCTGCGATGCTGTTAAAGTTTATGGGCGCGGCCTTGTGTGTATACCAACGACCCGCGCGCGCCTTCCGAGAGTTTATTGATTCTCGAGCCACGGCATCTTTCGCCCGCCGTACTGCCGTTCTGCCCTATCGAGTTTACCTCCCCCTCTTCTCTTGGCTTACCGACGCCCCCCCCCCCGTGTCATGTCTACGGGGTTGCTTCGTGAAATCCAATGATGTTCCTCGCGAGGAAAAGTTTGGTTATACGGCCCGGGAACGGACGGGAAATATTTTTTCCTGGGCTGTACCGGATTTCTTCTTTATGATACTCTGTCTCTCTATCTTCCGCTTCCGCCGATATTCTCTCTCGCTCTCTATTCGTCTTTCTCTCTCTCTCACTCTCTCTATAAAGCGATGCATCTCTCTCTCTCTCTCTCTCTCTCTCTCTCTCTTCGCAAAAGAGTCTCTCGTCGCGATATTCTCTCCCTGTCTCTCTTCGAAAAACTCTCTCTCTCTCTCTCTCTCTCTCTCTCTCTCTTTCTCTATAAAGTGATGCATTTCTGCCTCTCTATGAAGCGATGCATTTCTCTCTCTCTCTCTCTCTCTCTCTCTCTCTCTCTGCGCGATGCTGTCTTCGCGATACTCTCTCTCTCTCTTTCTCTCTCCCTTCGCAAAACTCTCTCTCTCGCTCTATCATCGCGATATTCTCTCTGCCTTTCATCGCGGAACTCTCTCTCTCTCTCTCTCTCTCTCTCTCTCTTCGCGATAGTTCCTATCTTCGCCATACTGTCTTCGCGACACTCTCTCTCTCCCCCTCTCTCTCTCTCTCTCTCTCTCTCTATAAAGCGATGCATTTCTGTCTTTCTATGAAGCGATGCATTTCTCACTCTCTTTCTCTCTCTCTCTCTCTCTCTCTCTCTCTCTCTGTTTTCACGATACTCTCTCTCTCTTCTTCGCGATACTCTCTCTCTTCCTCTTCCTCTCTCTCTCCCTCTCTCCGCGATACTCAATCAGAGAGAACTTGGTGTACAGTAATGTATCTCTAATGTATCGCTCTCATCGTCGCTCTAAATGTCACTCACATTGTCCCCAAAAACAGACAATTTCGGAAGAGAATAGATACAATTATACGATCCTCGCGATTCCTTTTTACAATATTTCATATTATTCAATTATATCATCCACTTCCAAAATATTCCATTTTCGTGCCCAATAATCCTCGCATCAATTACAAAGTCATCGTACCACCTATTCTACACCGTGCATTATTAATAACGCAACGACAATCTACGTGACAAATATCCATCGTTGCACGGCCTCAGCGCAATGTCCACAACGCGTTAATCCAAACATAAACCGGTCGTAACTTACGGGTCGTCCTAAACACGCGTAACGAAGCCCAAATAATTCTTTGACGCGACCGCGTCAGAACGACACGTATAACGCGTATCGTATACGCGCGCTTCTATACGAACCTTTCGACGTCGATCGCGATAGGAACAACATTATTCTTCATTAGCCAGTCTACTTCCCCTCTTTCAATGATTCGTCGCGCCTCTTAGCATTTCCACGGCGTGATCGTGGGCCCATCCATCTTGCGTAGAATCCTCGAACCACCCCCTCCCCCCACCCCACCTTCGTCATTGTTTCTTCTCCCCCTAGCATCTTGCTTCCCTCCGTGTCTTCCTACCGCGTCGTTCTTTTCGTCGTCTAAAGGCAACAGCGGATACGGTTCCCAGCGGCGAACGAACCCTCCCGAAGCATTCCGCGCCGCTCGTTGCCTTTTCCTTACAGTTACCGCGGGCGCGAGACCGGCGCGCGTGTATCCTGAGTGCAACCAGCCGTATAATTGTCGGGGACGAGAGCGGGTCGGGCGTCGTGGTGGGGGAAGAGCAACGCGTAGGAGAACGCGAGACGACGGCGGCGACGGCGGCGGCGGCGGCGGCGGCGGCGGGACGGCGTCGAGGTTTGAAGGGCGAATGGGAAACGGGAAGAGGGTGGAAACGGCTGACGAGGCTCGCCTCCCTTCCTCCGGGCCACCCTCTAACGCCCACGACCCTCGTATAGTATCGAGCGCGCGGGAAAGGGCCGCCTTGAATTAACGCCATCATATTTCAGGATGGTGGAGCACGCCGCCGGTTTTCTTGCCATTTGTCTCGGGGACTCGCGAGCGCCGTCCGCCGAGCGAAACCGCCTTCGCCTTCGTTTTCCGTCTTCGCTTTTCCCCTTTTGCTGTACGAGTAACATCGACGGCGAGGCGATGGGCCGTCGCGAAATCTCGTCGGGAAAATAGAAACAGCGTTGTATGTCTTGCTTGGTTTCGTTTCCGTGAATTGGCCGACGTTCTCGAGCGATTCGAGACGGTTATGATGTAGGTGGCTGGTTTCTGGGGGACAGTTATGGGGAAACGATGTTATTGTTAGAAATTATTATTTAATAGTTGTTATTGTAAATAGTTATTAATTATAATGGTTATTATATGTTAATACTATTACTATTATATATTAATTATAATAGTTGTTATATATTAATACTATTACTATATTGTATATTAATTATAATTTAGTTATTATGCCTTGGCAGTGGAGTGGCGAATCTGAGGCGCCGCTGAAAATTGTTGTAATAATTGTAGAAATAATTTTGCGACGGATTTGTTTATATTTTAAAAATTGTTGCAATTGCAACTGCATTGTACTCGTCGATGCGCTGAATTTCATGCGCATAAATTGCATTTGATCGCGTAAAATGGAGGTAAATATATAATAATGGAAGAAAAAGTAGTAGTAATAATAATAATAATAATAATAATAATAATAATAATAATAATAATAATAATAATAATAATAATAATAATAATAATAATAAGGTCAAATTGAAGCGTGCAACTGAGAAGAAAGAAATAACAAACGTTTTAAATTGCGGGAGTATGTTTAACACGATGTAATTTTCTTCTCCAACGGGTCATAATTATTTCGTGGCAGATAAGATAAGATAACTGCCGCTAATTGATGTATTCGTGAACATTCTTTCAGCATTTTGTGTACCAGAATTTCCTGCGGGGAACAAAAATATATATAAAGTTGTCTCGCACTTTCGTTCTTCGGAAATATTCCGTTTGCTTGCAATTATTATTACGTAACATTTGCGACTTCGCTCGTGAACATGAATGTTGCTAATTGCTAATTTTACTTTTGGATATCGATTATGGTTGACCGTAACGATAAGGAATTCGAAAACGAAAAGCTCGTGATCGGTAATGAAAGTTAATGAAAAGATTTATTTTTATTACTTTTCCATTGAATTTTATTGAGGCGTTCGAATAATTATGTCCTGCGAAAATACGATGTTCATTTTGATAGTTTTTTAATTATGTAGAGGATGTTTTACGCTGAGTCGAAAGTTTCTTGCATTTTGACATTTATATACTCTATTTTAATATACTGTAGTATATATACTATATATTATTTATTATATACTATATATTATATATATACTGATACTAATATATATATATTCGTTATATATTATACTATATATATACTAATACTCAGACTGCGCATAAAAATCGACAATTTCGAAAGAGGATACACAATTATCCGAGCCTCGCAACTCATTTTTACAATTATTAACAATAGATAACCATAAAAAACGAGCCACAAGGCTCTCCTCTCTCCAAATCCTCCATTTTTCTGCACAATTTTCGCGTCACTTAGAGAGACATCACTGACTACAGTAATGTCTCCCTAACTGACGCTCAGATTGTCCCCAAAAATGGACAATTTAGAAACAGGAGATACGATTACTATAAAATTATTATAAAAACCAGCCACAAGGCTCGAACAATCTTAATCTCCTCTCCCCAAATCCTCATTTATCAACACAATCACCGCGTCACTTAGAGAACCATCGCCATCAACACTCTAAAAACCCTGAAATCTCCTAATCGACGAACTCTACAAGCCCCCACAATCCCACCACTCTAACAGCGCCCTCTCTCCTCTGTTTCAGGTATGGTTCAAGAACAGAAGAGCAAAATGGCGGAAGAAAGAGCGGAACGCGTTGAACGCTGCGGCGGCAGCCGCGGGCGAGTTCAAGGCCAGCTTCGGCACGACCAGCCTGAACGGGTTCATCGGTCAGCCGTTCGCGGACCCGGACGCGCTGTACAGTTCGTACAGCACGTACAACAACTGGGCGGCGAAGGTACCGTCGCCGTTGGCGACGAAAAACTTCCCGTGGGTGAACACACTGGGTTCGGTGGTACCGACGGCGTCGCACCATCATCACCACACGCAGGTGAGCCCGGTGAACTGTTTCAACGCGGCGACGTCGGTCGCGGGCAGTCACATGGGTGGCATGTCGGTGTCGGTCGGCCAGGCAGCCACGTCTATGCTGCCGGGAATGGGCTCCGGGCTAGGCGTAGCCGGCTCGCCGGTGGCGGCATCTGGCGCCGCGTGTCCGTACGCGACGCCGGCCGCGCCCCACCACCCGTACGGGCCGCCGGTGTACACGCCCCACCACAGAACGACGGTGGCGCCGGAGATGACGTCGAGCAGCATCGCGTCGCTGCGGCTGAAGGCGCGGCAGCACAGCAGCGGTTACAGCGGCCTGAGCGGCAGCTCGTTCAGCATAGACAGCACGCCGGTGTCGGCGGCCGGCAGCCCGGTGAGCTCGCGAGCGTCCTCGGTGGGCGGCGGCGGCGGGCTGAGCGCGTGCCAGTACGCATTGGCGTCGGGCGGCGACGGTGGTAACCCGCACTCGCCCGGCAGCACAGAGGCCCACGTGAACGTCACAGCCAGGGCCCAAGTCTGAGGTGAAGCGGGGGCTACCACTAGCCCCCATCAGCACGCCGTCACCGGGAATTCCGGAGGATCTATGCAAGGCTCCTCCGGTAGATCATTGGCGTCGGGAGGCGGCCAGGTGGTGCCGGTCGGCGCCGCGCCGGGCGTCTCCGGCAACCAGCAGCCCGACAATCAGCTGAGATCGCAAGAGTGACCCAGGCCTAGGTCCGCCGCCTCGCCAACGTTGTCGTCGAGCCCCTCGTCGACCATTTCGCACCCGCTTTACCTCATGTACGACGACGACGGGACCACGGCGGACCAGAAGATCGACGACGATAGAAACGCGATGGAGACGGACGGCATCGGCGGCGAGCAAGTCGTCGCGGCCACCGGGGGCATTGGCGTGGGCGTCGGGATCGGGATCGGCGGTTCCGGGGCCGCAGGGGCGGGCGGCGCCGGTTTGGCCGGATACTGGCAACACGCCACCAGCGCGCCCCTGCCGCATTGTCCCTCGTTTCTCGACTGCTGGGCCATGCCGCCGATCGCTTTCGGCTCGCAGACGCTCTCTCTGCCGCGGGACGAGAACTGAGGTCGCCCGGATGTCCTTGAACAGCGATCAGAACGGGTCGGTTGCAACACGGAGAGAGACTGAGTATCCTTAACTTTATTTCATTCGCGTGTCGCGGTCGAGCTGCTGTTGCTGCGCCGGGTGAGTTTGGTTGAAAGGTTGTCGGAGTTTTCGTTCGTTTTGGAGATTTTTTGAGTCGTGTATACAGGGTGTCTTGGAATTATGGTGTTTGCGGGAACTGAGGGGTTCCTCGGGCGATTTCGAGCAACTTTTTCCTTTGCGAAAATGCTCTACGAGGCTTCGTTCACGAGTTATTCAGGAGAAACGCTGGCCAATGGGAGGTCGCGTATGATCGTCGCCCCACGCCCAAGTGACCACTGCTGGTGAGTCAGACGGCCGGCGCGACGCGGCAAGGGCGGAGCGCCGGTCGCAATTGCTCTCCGATTGGTCACCGTTTTTCGTTGATAATTCGTTAACGATGCCTCGGAGAACATTTTTGCAAAGGAAAAAGTTGCTTCGAGTCGCCTCGGGAATCTATTATTTCCTGGAAACACCATAATTTTGGGATACCCTGCATATATATACAGGGTGTCCCAAAATTATTATATATATATATATATATGTATATATATATATACAGGGTGTCCCAAAATTATAATATATATATATATGTATATATATACAGGGTGTCCCAAAATTATAATATATATACAGGGTGTCCTAAAATTATATATATCCGCGAAATTAGAAAATTCCGAGAACTTTTCGACGGAACTCTCGCAAACTACAGCAACACAAGGATTCGTCTCGCGATCTCCGATATCGAGCAATTAGCGAACGATCTCGGACGACGACAACAACAACAACGTCATCCTGTTTAGAAGAAACAAAAAACGACCGTGCGCGTTCTTCGTCGAATCGAATTCGTCGGGGACCGAATTCACGGTGTTTCCAGCCGAACGAAACGGACACAACAGCGTTGTACATACGATTGTAAACTCACGGACGATCGAATCGATTATATTGGTGTATATTTATCATGTTTCGAGGTGCATGCTTCTTCTGTAACGTTCACAAAGACCGTATGTGTGTGCGTGTGTGTGTATGCGTGTATGCGTGAGAGCGAGAGAACGACGAAGAAAGAAAGAGAGAGAGAAAGAGAGAGATAGTAACGTTCCAAGAAATCCTAAGTTGCCCGCGGATCGATTATGCTTCAGTTTGCCATCCGATTGGACGCGCGCGCGCGCGTTTCGTCTCCGTTCTTGACAAATACTCGAGCCCCATATAGTGCAATATTATAATGCTCGCTGCTCCGAGAGTAACCGAAATCGCGAAACAGAGATGACAGAGGTGCGAACGACGAGAAAAAAAGAGAGAGAGAGAGAAGACGAGCTTTATTTTCTTAAACGTTTACTTCGCTTGCGTCGCTCGTGACACAGGAATTCCGCGCGTTTCAAGATTAAAAAAAGAAAGAAAAGAATTTTCCCATGCTGTCCCTCGAGACTCGAACGATCGGTGGAATGGAAGGAGAGAGAGTTTTCAGTTGCGATTGTTAGGAACCGAAATGGTGGAGGAGTATGCTTAATAAAAAAAAAAGGATCCCGGATCCACGTACTCACTATTCTGTAGATACATGTATAGTAGACGCTGATTTCACGCGATTCCGAAATATCTAACGGAACGAAAACAACAAAAAAAAAGAATTGTTATATTGTAATGATGATAAATAATACATTATTATGTAATACGGCAGGATACCAAATTTGAGGAAAAGCGAAAAAAAGGAAATTGTATTACGGGCTCTGTAACTAAACGAAGAATATTGGCCGTCGATTTACGGCGGCGCTTTGTATAGTGTGTACGAGAGAGAGAGAGAGAGAGAGAGAGCGAGAGAGAGAGAGAGAAATCATTTTATCGGCTAAGCGTACGTTATAAATATTATTAACATTATTGAGTAATTATAAAACTGTATTCGATACCCTTGCAGACCGCGTGCAAGTCGATCTTCCGAGGTGCAAGTCGACTCGTTCCGCGATTATGTGATTTTTTTCTTCTTTTTTTATTGATGTATCGAGAAGAGAGAGAACGAGAGAGAGAGAGAGAGAGACAAGAGTAATCTGTCGAGCAACGAAACAGAAACAAGAAAAACGTACGGTAAATGTCTCCCCGATCGACGCTCACGTTGTGCACAAAAATGGACAATTAGGGAAACAAGATGCGATTATCAGAACCTTATAACTCGTTTTTCTAGAATTCTTGACAATTCATAACTATAACAAACGAGCCTCGAGGTTCGAGCAATCTGCATCTGCTCCCCCCAAATTGTCCATTTTTCTGGACAATTCCGGTGTACAATTTTCGCGTCAATTAGAGAGACATTGCTATATATCGAATGCTCGCATAGAAACAAAACAAAACAAAAAATGCGCGCGAGAGAGAGACTCGAGAAGAAGAAGAATGCCGCGACACCAAAGAGTATTCTCGACGAGGCAGAGTCGACGGAGGCAACCTCGGAAGCCGATCTAGACCTAAAACGCTATTAACATCAACTATCGCCGTAAGTTCTAGACCTAAGAAACGACCGCTATTTTGTATGAATCCCGATGTCGTACAAATGTTCGTCGTAATCACATATCCCAGTTCCCCGCGTCGAGTGATCGGTGAAATGCCCGCAATAGAATGTTTCTCATTCCCGTTGTCGTTTCCACTCGCTACGTGTAAACGTTCCTACTGGGCGATATTGAGCGCCGAAAGGCCCCGTTTGTAATCTAGTCACAATAAAAAACCAATTCTATTCTAAGCGAAGCCGTTCCGTTGTTTCACAGCTGCCCTTCCCCCCACCACCACCCCCCACCACCGCCACCTTCCTATGTTTCTTGGTGTTTGTTTAGCGACTCCTTCAATCCATCAGATCCCGTCTTGTACAAGAGGATTAGCAGCGGTTTTCTTAACGTTTTTTACGACGCTGCTTCTCGCTGGCATCGCGAGCACGCTACTGTAGGACAGTGGGACGCGCGAGGCGGCCGGGATGCCCCAGTCACCGTGCCCCTGGATTTAAAAATCTATAGAAAAATTATAGCGGAGAATCATTTAAATTGATGAGCTGGTTTTTTCTTTTTTTTGTCATGGTTAACTGCCGACATGGTGTGTGGGTGTAAGGGGAGGTATTACATTTGTTATGTATTGAAATGTAATTGAATATTTTTCATATATTGAAGTGTAATTAAACATTTTTCATATATTGAAATGTAATACGGGGCACGGTAATACGGGGCACGGTAATACGGGGCACGGTAATACGGGGCACGGTAATACGAGGTACAATAATACGGGGCACAGTAATACGGGGCACAGTAATACGAGGCACGGCAATTCGGAGCACAGTAATACAGGGCACAGTAATACGGGTCACAGTAATACGGGTCACAGTAATACGGGTCACAGTAATACGGGACACAGTAATTCGGGGCACAGTAGTACGGGACACAGTAATACGGGGCACAGTAATACGGGACACAGTAATACGAGGCACGGTAATTCGGGGCACAGTAATACGAGGCACGGTAATACGGGGCACAGTAATACAGGGCACAGTCAGTTTGTTGCTCTATCGCAAATTACACAGCAAATCCAAAGTACTAAATAATCAATTAAAACTTGCCCTGTTCTTCTTACATAACACAAGACCTCAAGAATATTTATGCTGAATAAACGATAATATTCTACTCGATTCGATTCTGTTAAACAAAATCTAAATGTTCGCGCTGCAAGTGTGCAATGAGTTGAAAGCGACAAGAAAAAAAAATAGACGCTTCGAAGTAGTGTTCCTAACAAACATCCCCTTGATAAATTTCGCGTAGCCTAATTAATAAAAGACAACGACACCGTCCATGTCCAAGGCGAGCATAATCTTTCCCGTGGTTCGCCGGGCCGTCGCTTTAATTACGCGTAAGATATTGAATTAAGAGAAAAGCCCACGGCAATGAATTCCGATCGATGATTAGGCTATTTATCGGTAGTTAGGCGAGCCATTATACCCCCGGATGCTAAGGGAGCATCGATAACCTTCGGAATCTACATGCATACCAAGCGTGTAACGTGTTGCATTATCGTGGTTAGGGGAGCGGAGGGAAAGCGATAAATTATGCACCCTCCGGTGGCGCGCGAAGGGTCGCTCGCTCGGCACCCCTCCGTCCGCTGAACTAAACTAAACGTATATTACGATGATCGTCGCGCCCGTTAATGGAACGGCAGTCATAAGATATTACAGTCCGTATGTTTCCAATTACATGCGACACTGCCGCCAAATACGGCGAAATTTCGCGCGTTCGAGTTAGGTCGATTGCGCTAGGTCGACGCGCTTTATTTCTCGATCCGTTCTTATCGTCGTCGCAAGTTTGCTTACGATTCTTCGCCCATGATATATAATCGTCTTTATTCTGCACTTAAAGTTTAATCCTTTTTCAGATTTTGTTCGTTCGTTTTGCGAGGTTATATTCACGTTTCTGGAATGCGAAATGCATCTTTTGTGTTGCACTTTTTTGCATTTACCTTTGTTACGTTTATGTGAGTAATAATGTACGTGCAATAATGTAAATGTAAGTAATATATAAATATAAATAATAATATAGATGAAATAATATGAATACAATAATATAAATATAAATAATAATATAAATACAATAGTATAAATATAAATAATAATATAAATACAATAGTATAAATATAAATAATAATAAAAATGCAATAATATGCATACAATAATATAAATATAAATAATAATATAAATACAATAATATAAATTTCACTAGAAATAGTTTATCTTCAAAAATATTCAATGATCTTTTCTAAAATGTTATTTAATAAATTTTCTTTACTAATCGATTAATTAATTCTATCTATTATATTTAATATATTAATTAATCTATTAATTAATTCTATCTATTATCCAATCTTATTAATTGATTTAATCTACCATTACTTGAGCGCAGAAGCTATAAATAGAACAGATTCGCAGAAAATTGCGCGCGTCCTATGGTTAACGTGCTAATTTTCGCAGAGAGATTCCGTGAGACGCTTTGAAACTCCTATTAATTACAAGTCCAATGTACAAAGAGCGTTTTATCTCTCTGTAACTTATCTTCTTCCGTAATCTTATCACCTATCTGGCGCACGACACACTTACACCAAAAAGAAAAAGAGAAAAAAATGCCCGCGTAAAACAAACATTCTACTAAACTTCGTTGCATTTCCTTTACAACGGCACGTGCCCCCTAGCTATCGTATCATACAAGGCGTTCGATTTCCAAAGAACCGAAGAAATTATCGAATACCGGAAATTCGTCGATTGCTCTTCGGAAAATGTCTTTATCTCCAGCTTTACGAAACTTCAACCGATATAAATATTTCCTTTTTTTATACGCAGCGATAAAATATTTCTTTTCTTAAATTACGCGCGCACCGTTCGCAACTATACTTCGTTCGTTATGGCTTACGTTTAGATGAACATAATTTTTACAAACGAAAATAATTTGTCGCGGTCGAATTGAGATATTTTTAATTTTTTTTAAATTTTCTATTTATTTTTACTTCATTTTCTATTATGGTAATTCCGGGAAATT